GAGAGAACCCAGATGTTCCTGGCAATCACTACAATGTGTAAAGTATCTCATGCAGGGGGATATAACTTTCATATCTTAATTTGAGCTCCCTCCTTTGACTCNAAGAGAACCCAGATGTTTCTGGCAATCACTACAATGTGTGAAGTATCTCATGCAGGGGGATATAACTTTCATATCTTAATTTGAGCTCCCTCCTTTGACTCTTGTCATTCAAACATGACAGTTAAAAGAAGACAATGTAGGGACCTGGGTTCAACTCCATGATCCAATGCTTAGTCTCTGTGTTATTGAACAAATAATTTTGACATCTCTGAGCCTCAGTTTTTCATCTGTAAAATGAAAATTATATGCTACTAACATTCCAGGATTGTCATGAATCTCAGATGGTAGTAAAGTACAAAATGCTTTGTAAATATGAAGTACTGTATTAATGTAATTTTGGATCAGAGGAAAGTACCTAACCTGAGACCAGACCCAAACCCTAAGGTAGCAACTTAAAATTTTGCTTCTCCCTACATCTCCCAACCAGTTTTTAGTAACCCCTTTTTCATGTTTTTCCAAGTTTTCCCTCTTGACTTTCAGCCAGGATTTCTCCTCTTGAACTCTCTTGTTTTTTGCCTTTCCCTCATTTGTTGTCCTCCTCGTCAATCTATCCCAGAGCATGCTGTCTGCAAGAACATGAGTAGTATCTAATAGGGAATGCTGGGTCAAAATATGGCTTGTGATACATGTCCTTGTGTTTTCTCCCTAAAGCCTTGCCCAACAGTCATCGAGGAAGTCTTCAACAATAAATTCCACATCATTGGAGCTGTCGGCATAGGGATTGCTGTTGTGATGGTGAGTAAGGGCAGGGGATGAAGGAGTTGGTTGCTCATGGTGTAATGCTAGGCAAGGTTAGAAAGGAAGTTATGTAAATCCGGTCTTGGTCACCTGAGAAGTTTACACTCCAGCACGGGCATTGGCATGGGCAAAGATATGCAGGTGAATAGGGCCACTAAATCAGGATACGAATGAACAGGGTATTTGTTAAGTGGTAGATAGGTGAGCATCACCCAGAGAAAGGTGATCAGGGAGGAATAGTTGAAAGAGCCCCATGTCCAGATTAAACAGGGCAGGGGGGAATCCGGTAGCATTATGCTATGTGTGAGTCATGCTACCAATTATGTTGGCACCAATTCTCCACCCCCAACCTCACAAGTATGAATTACTCAGTTTTCGAAGGGCTGATGTCAATTATATATTATTATTCAGGCCCTTTGCTTATTTATACACAGTCCTAAAACTTATTATTATAAACTCTTCCCTTACCAGCTTTTTTACGAACCAAGTGCTGATCACTTCAAGCTAAATTTACTTAACTTTCACCTCTTGATTCCTTGGTC